TTTTTTTTCATTGTACTTTGTAGATGGATCTTCAGAATGATTTCAACACGGTGCCAAACGGTGAAGTCCCACTTTTATACCTAAAAGGAAATTTAATACTTCGGAGGGATGAATTGCGTGGAATGGATGGTCTGCATCCATCAAGAAAGATGCCAAGTATTGTTTCCCAGTGCTATGTGAGTGCTTCGCTGCTTTCAATATAAGCTGCAAGCCAGAAGACAAGCAATTTTTCTTGTTTCTCTCTGCAATTTTTCAAGGCGTAGGAAACCTTACTACCACGGGGGAGAAATTTATGAGAAGCATCAATTGATCGAAACAATGAAGAAATTTTGAAACTAATTAAGTTTAAAAACTGATTAAAATCATCATGGATTAATAAATGTAAAAAAAAAACAATTCAAATGAACCATATTATTATTCACCTCAAATTTGAAAAAGAAAAGAAAGGAAAATCGATAAAAACCAGCTACAATTCAATCGGTAGTTTTTACTGAATTTCGGTAAAAATCTGACAGAACGCTTTTTTGTTCATTTTACCAATCATTCAGTTAAATTTGCAATGCGTTTCAGCAAATTTTGACAGCTCATATGACCGAATGTTCAGATTACCGAATGTTCAGCTGTTCCATATTCGGTAAAAAATTACAGTATACTGTAAAAAAATCTTAGTGTGTAAATGTGTATCGATGGCAAACTTTGTTGTTCTTTGTCAAAGTTCAAAGTTACGATGATATCAGTATTTAAATATTTATTGATGAATATTTGTAAAGAATACTAAAGTCCATGTGACATATCGAAATTAAAAGAAATTTAGTATGGCACCTTTAAAGATTACTATCATATGACCGATGAAGAAATAATCTTAAATGTAAGTATCGATCAATAAAGATTTTTAAATGTGTACATCGAAATCATAGAAAATTTAAAGTAAAGAATTGCTGACATAAATCTTTATTTCTGTATAAAGAACTTTGAAGAAGTTTCACGAATGGTTGGTCGGGATTTAGTCAACTCCGTCAAATACCACGCACGAAGGGCATTCTTCAAAAACATTAAGAAGAATGAAAAGTTCGATTGTCAAGTCCCGTCCCGGGTTTGATCAAAAAATTTGCTCTTCCAGTAAATATAGACAGTTTCTGATAGGAATTTTCGGTGGAGTGAAAGGATAGTACACGGATAGAAATCTCCTTATACCTTTTGGCAAATTTCTATTGCTCATTATTCATAAAATGTATAAGTCAACTAATAAGCAGACGCCTTGCAAAAAGTTAATGAAGATCATGTGTCAAATGAAATGAATAACCCTAATAAAATTTGTATGGTTAATTTGCTTAACGACGTGTTCTGGGTATCATCCAAACCATTTGTGGAATAGTTCAATGATTTGAGTTATCGTTCGTGTATGGTTATTTTTTATTAGGGAAGCGGTGACACATACCTTTTATGCATTCTTATAGGACCCATGTGGTTTGTCTTATGGAATGTATAAGGCTGATGTTTTGGCAAAAATGTATAAGTGAAACACATGGATACAATAATTGATTTTCGTTTCGTGTACACAGTCCACCATGTTTCACGTACACAGAAAAAAAAAGTTGTTGAATATTACATCCAAACTGCTGCAACCAGGTCAATCCATCGGTTGTGTAATATAACGTTGTACGATGTAAATCGATTTTGCGAACAAAATTACATCCATTGATGTAATATTGTATCTGCTTTTTGCTATTACATCATTATTTCATACATCAGCTTGAATTCCATTGATCGGTATTACATTTTTTTTTTGCTGTGTACAGTCTGACGTTTGCTTATGGATTTTCTCATAGGAGCTAGAGTCACCGTCAACGCCAATAGAATTGAATCCTTGGGGTAAAATCCGAGGGGCGATTCACTTGTGTATTTTCGATTCAGGCCAACGTATTGATGAACGTATTGAAGTATTTTTTATCGAATAAACGTGTATTTTGTGTAATAATGTATTTTTTTGTATTTTTTTGAATATATGTATTTTTTTGAGTATTAGAAAAATAAAAGTGTATTTTTATGCATTAATGTATTGGAAATCAGTTATAAGTGTATTCTGTCATTTCAGTGTTTATATTTACCACTCGAACCAAGGATCAAACGGATCAAACTCACAATATTGACGTTTTGTTTGACAAATGCACAACACAACGCTAACATTAAAATACCCATTGATGAGTAGAATTTCACCCATTTAAAAGAAAAGAGGCTTAACTCATTAACTCATTAGGGACTGTTCATTAACTTTAAGAGATGAACTAGCCTATGGCTAAAAATCTCTCAAAGAAAGGTTAAAAAAAATGTTCATTAACTACGTAGACAGTTTTTTTGGGTTTCCTCGCCCCCCTTCTTATAACCCTGCGTAGACAATTGTCCAGACAAACTTTTAAAAATTTGTATGGGCCGCGGATAATTGCAATCCCCCCCTAAACTGTCTACGTAGTTTATGAACAGCCCCTTACCTCGCTCATTACGCATTAATGAATAATCGTTACTTATTTGTGGCTCACAACTACTCAAAATGTTTTTTTTTTTAATTTAATAAATGATTTAAGGCACTTTTTTTAAAAATGGGCTAAATTCTACTCATTAATGCATTGTTCTGTGATTCGAGCTCGGATTAAAATAAAAAATAATAAATTTACGCATTTTGTTCGAATTCAGCGTTTTGATTGTACATATTTTCGATTTTTTCGTCCAAATGACGAATTATCGTGTATTTTTATTATTCGTCGAATATTTTTGTATTTTTTCCGAATTTTGTATTTTTTTTGCATTTTTTTGAGTAATGACGAGCAATGATGAATTTTTGTGTATTTTTTTCATAAACGTATTTTCGATTCATTCTCGAGAGCAGTGAATTGCCCCTCGGTAAAATCTATATTTTGAACCACCCTAATATATAGATATGTATTTATCCTCGTATTTATCAACATACATAACACTCGCAAGTTGTTCATTGAACAAGCATTTAACGGTCAATTTAAAAGTATCGTAGTTGGTAGTACCGCCACCTGTGTCGCTCATAGTCATTTCCCTTGAGTTTGACGTTTACACTACCGCCATCTGTTCAGCGTACTACACTGAACCAATTTGACATATTCCTGTTATGTGGAAATCTAATAAATTTGCGCTATAAGATAATCCATTGAAAATGATATGATTGAAAATGTGTCAGGTAAATTCTATATGAATATCTGATACATTTACAATGCTGATAATTTGGTAACTTTTATGTGATCGTCATATGATAAATGAAAATCAGTCAAATTATAATAATTAACTGAAATGGATTTGAAACCCATAAGCATAAGCTTTACGTTTCACAACAATAATATATATGTGTCATAAATCAATCGAAGTAAAGTTTATGTGAAAATAACATGAAATTTACTTCTTCTTTTGACACATATATTTAATCGATTTCTAAAAATAAATCGAAAAATAAACATCAGGCAGTGGGAGCTTTCACAGTTGTGTCTTTTTTTTATTGTAGCTGATTTGGGATTCGATCAAGAACTGTTGAGGTATGATGCTTTCGGTTTCTGCGCTCGATTCCACTGGGCCACGGCTGACTTCAAGATTGAGCTCGTTCAATTAGCATGAAGTAAGAACAGATCTCCCGACATGGATGTAGTGCAACTTTATGCTCGTTTTGCTAGAGTGAAGACAAATAGCACTGACAAGTTTATGTTCCGTTTCGGTGGTGTCGTTTGTTCAAATCTTTCTTAATGCGCCTGTGTGCAATAAAACAACGACTAAATTATATGAGTTGATGGAACTGGTTCATGAAGTTCGAGTACTAGGGCTGGAATCTGAATTAGCTGTGTAGAAGGCTTACAATTAGAATCACAGCAAAGTAAATATTGCAGTAGAATCATTTTTTTTCAATCTCAATACAATCTTTTCCGGAACCCCTTATCTTATGAAACAATAACAAACAAAGATTATTCAATACAGTATCATTGTTGTTAGCAATATTTACAATATCAACAATATCAACTAATCATTTTAATGAGTGTACGATAACATCGTTGAAAATTGTTTCAATAATTTATGAAGAGCAATCATGTAAGATGTATTTTATTTTGAGCGATATTCATCCCAGAAAAACATGCCAAAACAAATGTTTGCTGTTGGATTTCTTAAAAGGCAAATCTATATGACTATATAATGATTGGGATAAATCTGTTTACAATCTTTAAACCTCAAAAATCAAAGAAAGCTATTCCAATGAGATATGAAATATACATGTTTTCCTATACTGTAAAGTTAAATGACAGTCCAATAGTTTCTACATGTCTGTTTACACGCGACATATCAACAAACGTCAAAAATCGTTAAAAGCAACATCAATAAAATATACATGATTATCTTATAAGATATATCTTTTAGTGAGCAATATTCATCATGAAAACAGGTATATTGTACTGAATTATCTCATAATGCAAACTTACATGATTTTCCATTACTTTCTAGATGTCTGTTCCCACATATATCAACATGACATATCAACAATTTTTCACCATGAAATATAATCAGACAATATTCATATACTTTTTACCTATCGCTAACCACGTTCGAAGCAAAGTATTATCAAGTACAAAGTATGTGAAATTACGATAGAAATCATTCCATATCGCAGTCATAGTTTTAAAGTGATAATACAATGGAATCTATCAATCATCACATAGAATGAATAAATCTGCTGACATTGCTATGTTATAAGATGGATCCAGTAAACGGTACATGTCGATTTGTTTCAGTGTACCCATCACAATGTACTCAACAGATGGTGGTAATGTTTTAGCGACGATGTTTTCAGTGAGAAATATTCAATGTGTTATGTCTGTTTGTCTGTGTATTTATATTCACCGACTCTAACTTTTCTCTCCGTGTATGAGTGACGGCACTCAGTCGCGTAAACACAAAATAAATGTTCAGAAACTCGTCCGCGACTTGTGATCATAATAATCCTTTTGCTCAGTAATAACTTCGATGGCCATTTAAAGTCCTATACAACTAGTAACTCCCTCAAACTAATTTCTACAAGGTAAATTATAGAACTGTGAATGGATCCGGTTAAGCAATCCTGCCGACTATGTTTGGCACCTTCCTCGGAGCAGTATGGTTCCATCTCCGATTCAGCAATGCACTCCAAATTGGACGTTGTATTCAGATTTGAGGTAACTTTTGAAGACATTCGCTTGAAAATCCCAAAGTAAATAATTCAAAAAACAACTCCATTTCAAGCTGCCTCTGGAGGATTCGCTTTCCACTGTCGTTTGTTCCGAGTGCAGTGCCAAGATCGATGAGTTCTATTCCTATCATGAGACTGTCCGGACCAACCAGATCCGGCTGAAGACGTTTTCCATGTCGGATACCGATATGCTGCTGCTGGTGGAAGTTAAAGAAGAACCAGAGGGTGAACCAGTGGAACGGGCTGCTGAAGATCGGAATGGAGACGATGCCTTTAATGATGACGAGCATGATTCAACAAAGTCTGACCTAGATGAACTAGATGCCATTAAAAAAGGGGAAGATCAGGATGAGAAGGGCAAAAGGTCGATGGAGGACAACTTGAAAATCGAACAGTTTTTCAACGGTATTCCTTGCAGCATTTGTTCGACTGTATCGCAAACTTTTGACGAACTCAAGGCGCATAGTAGGAAGAAACACGGCAGAAATGCCAGTGTCACGTGTTGCAAGCGGAAGTATTTCAAGAAGTGCCTTCTGGTTCAACACATAAACGCACATCTCGACCCGAAACATTTTTACTGCGAATTGTGCAAAAAGAACTATACCTCAAAGTATTACTTGGAAGTGCACATTGCAAAAGCCCATGCCAATCCGGAGGAGCATCGCTACCAGTGTAACAAATGTGGCAAGAAGTTCCCCAGGGAGTCACTGCTGACGGCCCATCTCAAAACACATGTTCAGGTAAAGTGCACCGTATGTGAGCGAACGATGGCCAACGCCTATTCGCTGAAGATTCACATGCAAAAAATGCACAGTGAGGGGCCACGGAAAAGTGTCCCGGTTCATATATGTGATACGTGTGGCCGCTCATACCACCAGAAGCAAACCCTCGAGAGGCACATCAATATGCAGCACCTGGGCATCAAGGATATCGATCGAATCCAGTGTACGGTGTGTGATAAATGGGTCAACAGCAAGCACTATCTCAGAATTCACACTCGGATTGCCCATAGTGGCGAAAACCTGCAGGTAACGTGTGCCATTTGCCACCAGGTTTATCCGAACAATCGTGCCTTAGCGACCCACAAGCACAAGGTGCACACAGAACGGAACCTGGAGTGTGAAATTTGCGGCAAAAAGTTCAAGCTGCCGAAGCACCTGAAGGAGCACCGGGCCGCGCACATGGGTCAACGATTGTACTCGTGCACCGTGTGTGACTACACTTCGAACTACAATGGCAATCTGTACGGTCACATGAAGAATAAACATCCAACCGAGTGGGCCCAAGTGAAGGCCAGTGGGGGGGCTCTGTTGGCCGAGCACACCGAACCAGTGGGAGCGGAGGTAGATTGAAATGAAAGATGACTTTTTCGCAGAGTTGTTGGTTGAATTTGTTGCGGGTAGTGATGATCACAAATCCTTCATTGGGTCACGGTTCAATTTTAAAGAACAAACATGCAAGGCGTCCTTGGTTCCAAGGAAGGGGATCCGTTCGGCGCTACTAGCTTAAATGAACCGTGACGCATCAAGTAAGTGACGGTTTTATTAGAATTATAATTTATATGAACACCGTTCGAACTGCATCGAATGACTCCGAACATATCTCTTCATCTGCTCTACCTTCTTCTCATCTGGCTTGGGCTTCTCCAAGGATGATCGTTTCGTATACTTCCTTTTAACGGTAGCAACTACTCGCTTTGGCCTCTGCCTATAAACAAAAGAAGTCAAACAGTTTAGGAAAAACAAAACCCAACTGAGCCTGCTTACCTCGAAGTTGAAAAAAGTTTCGAGCTTGGAGCGTACTACTGAGTAAAGAAACTGCTTTTGCTGCCATTTTAATCCATTTTTTGTGAACTGAACAGATAAGATACCAAAATTTATGAATAATTTGGAAACAAGCTAAAATTGTTTTTTTCTGGCAAGACCGGCAAGACGTAAACAAATCGCTACACGGCGAATGAGAACAACCCAAATTTGAGTTTAGTTCACTCATAATCGCCAAAAGTGCAGGAACTCAGCGATGGATTAATTTGCCTCATGTTTTCCCAGGTTTTCCAGGGAAAAATTCCCGAATTTGAGAAAAGTAAAGATTAGATTCACTCAGTTTATTGATATTACTCCGAGACTGAGCAAAATTTTCGTCAATTTCCTCATTCTCCGGCAGATTTTTTAGGTTTTCTACGAGGTTTTCTACAGGAAACCATGAGACAAATTTTACTCATCGTTGAGTTCCTGCACTTTTGGCGATTATGAGTGAACTAAACTCAAATTTGGGTTATTCTCATTCGCCGTGTACCCAATCAAGACTACACACACTCTTAGCTACGATTACCTAAAATTATCGGTAAAAATTTATCGGTAATTTTTACCGATAAAAATCGTTACTTAGCTTGCACGGTAACCAGCGTAAACACTAAAATTTCACACATTTCGTGAAAAAAGGGGCCTACTCATAAAATGTGTAAACTGCAATATGTGTCAAAAGTGATCATTTCTAGAACTTAAATATAATGGGTGCGCATGGTTGTTTTATTAACTTCGGAATTTTCTTATTTGTGTCAATGGTAAAATAAAGATGCCAGTGGTGGTGGCGGGGGGGGGGGACACCCCTCACCATCCCTCTCCAAAGGGGGAGTTTGGTAGAGATGAAAACACCGATTTGTACCTTCCTTAAAAGTTGTCCTAGCTCGCTTGTCTAATATCTATATACAATCTTCACACTGCCGTACTCTAACGGAACTATCAACTCTATGCTTTCATCTACTCCATCTATCGTATAAAAATTACCACTACAGTCTGTTATTTGAAATTAGCATCTTCAACAAAGATAGCTCGATTATTGTATATATTTTATTAAAAAAAAGAAATGCAATCAACAAAAATAAGTAGCGGCACCGGAGGTGTAGTGGTAAGCGTGATTTCCTCGTGATTTCTTCTCAATCCCAGTCGACACTGCCGGGATGTTCTGAGGCATAACATCTCTGATCGCGCCGAGGATCACGCCTTCCTTTGGAAGGGAAGTGAATAAGCCATTGTTCTCCGGTTCATGAGTTGATAGGTCGATAGGTAGGGTCCAGGTATGGGAGCATTGGTGCTCAGCACGGGAAACAAATCAAGGGAAGAAAAACAAAAATCAGTTTATGAAGTATATAAACTAAACTAAAACTAAAAGCTATGAAAAAAGTATACATCACCTACCCTCTAGCATGTCCGTCGTTGCGCACTGTCCAGTTTGGACCGTAGTTCCTCAATTGGCAAATCAAAGTTGGCACTCGTGGAGAATAGAAGAACTATGAAAGTGATGATGGTTTCAAAATTTTCCACGGAGAGGTATACGAGTGCAATCTTAAAATGCTTTTATTTTGAAAATGGAGCATTTTATTTAAATCTGGTTAGTGCTACGTTAGTAGAAAACTGGAGGACTACTCAATAGACATATAATATAAAAATAATAATTTCTTTTCAGATTTTTAGGTGTATACATAGATTTCAGCTTTTCTACACCTGTAGCAGCAACCAGATTTAAATAAAATGCTCCATTTGCAAAATAAAAGCATTTTAACATTGCACTCGTATACCTCCCAGTGGAAAATTTTGAAACCATCATCACTTTCATAGTTCTTCTATTCTCCACGAGTGCTAACTTTGATTTGCCAATTTTCCTGTTGTTCTTCACTGAAATTTAGCAAATGGCTTGCGGCAACAAAGCAGGATGCAGCAAAGTTTGAAGTTTTTTTACCCATTAATGAGTATAAAAATACACATTTTTTGACTGGTACTACATTCTTAAAATGTGTATTTTTTTTACACATTTTAGGATCTCCAAATTTACACATTTTTTGACAGCTGCATATAAATATAAAAAATGTGTATTTTTTACTCATTTATGTGTTTACGCTGGTTACCGTGCACGCTTTTTTTAACTATTCAAAAATTTGTATAATCTACCCAAGGGGCAAGACAAAGAAAATATTTCGGCAGAGAGTAAATTTGAGTAACAGCTACTCATAGTTGCTGAAAACTAATCAAAGTAGCCTCACCATTGAAATCAAATCAAGAGAAAAAATTAAACAAACGTCATCTATACCAAAGTTTTTATTAGGTTTTGTCTGGGGTTTTGTATCTTTCATATCTTGTAAATTAATAACCATTCACGGAGAACAAATTCGTTAAGTTAAGGGGGTAGTCCACTCTGGCGGCATGAAAAATAGGTCATTTTCACGATTTTTTTTTATGGTAAATAACGATCAATTCAAAAAAAGGAATGCATGGTTTTGTCAATTGGCGTCTTGCAGTGAAACTTTTCCATGCTTTCGCCACCTACATTTCGAAGTGAGAACTACTAGAAGGAGGATAGTTTACAAATTCTTCAAGTAAAACAGACGATTTTTGGGGCAAACCGGTACATAAAGAAAAACTAATAATTTCCCGTGGAAACTTTTGCTTGAATCGTGTAAGAAAATGTGTTTGCAAACTAACTGTTATTATTTCGGTATGGATCGGAGATGTTTTCATGGAAAATTATGCATAACAAGTTTGCACCCACAGGGAGAGGTTACCTCCTGCGCAGCGGCATTTTTCGGAAAATGGTGAATATGTGCGATTTCCACTAGGATGAAAGTGGAAATTAAGTGAATTTACTTAGGAAAGATTGTATCATGCTGATGGTAATGGAGATTGGTTGTATAGGACGCCAATATTCAATAAATGTTCATTTTGGCCTTTTGTTAGCAAACATATTGATGCTCACAATTTTCGACGGAAAACGCAACGGAACTTGCTTTACTCAACACGCACCATACTATAAAATGGTGCTAGATGGTCTTCAAAGTGATAGCAAGATGACAAATCATCTCTATTTTGAGTAATTGAGCAATTTACTTCTGTTTACATCATATTTACGATGCAGCATTGTTAGAGCCGCGAAATGAAATGAATATATCTTATGAAAGTTCAACTGGAAAAGTCAAAGTTGCACATCAGTCTGATCGTAAAAACGTTTTCTTCTGCAATTCGAATGTTATATTGGAAGAATTTTACACAGGCTTGATGAAAATTATGATTTAACGCTAATTTTCACGAATTTTATATGCAGTCTGTCAACATTATCATCATCATGCAGTGGCGACATCTGCGTTGAGCTTTTACACGCTAAGATCAGTTTACCTAGACGGTACAAACAGATTGGCCGTAAATTGCACAAACTCACATATGGGTAATTTTTTTTAACCCAAATATGGGTTCTTATGAACCATAAATGATTTATTTTTATGCAAATTTGACTTAAATTTACCCATATTTGGGTTAAAAAATTTACCTATATCTGAGTTTGTGCAGTTTACGCCTAATTTGGGTAAAGTAAACCTACATTTGGGTTATCTGATCTTAGCGTGTACGGCAATCTTCCAATTGGAAGATTGCCGTAAAAGCTCAACGCAGATGTCGCCACTGCATGATGATGATAATGTTGACAGACTGCATATAAAATTCGGGAAAATTAGCGTTAAATCATAATTTTCATGAAGCCTGTGTAAAATCCTTCCAATATAACATTCGAATTGAAGAAGAAAACGTTATTACGATCAGACTGATGTGCATTTTTGACTTTTCCAGTTGAACTTTCATAAGATATATTCATTTCATTTCGCGGCTCCATCAATGCTGCATCGTAAATATGATGTATAAACAGAAATAAATTGCTCAATTACTCAAAATAAAGATGATTTGTCATCTTGTTATCACTTTGAAAACCATCTAGCACCATTTTATAGTATGGTGCGTGTTGAGTAAAGCAAGTTCCGTTGCGTTTTCCGTCGAAAATTGTGAGTATCAATATGTTTGCTTAGAAAAGGCCAAAATGAACATTTATTGAATATTGGCGTCCTATACAACCAATTCTCCATTACCACCAGCATGATACAACCTTTCCTAAGTAAATTCACTTAATTTCCACTCTCATCTTAGTGGAAATCGCACATATTCACAATTTTCCGAAAAATGCAGCTGCGCAGGAGGTAACCTCTCGCTGTGGGTGCAAACTTGTTATGCATAATTTTCCATGAAAACATCTCCGATCCATACCGAAATAATAACAATTAGTTTTCAAACACGTTTTCTTACACGATTCAAGCAAAAGTTTCCACGGGAAATTATTAGTTTTTCTTTATGGACCGATTTGCCCCAAAAATCGTCTGTTTTACTTGGAAAATTTGGAAACTATCCTCCTTCTAGTAGTTCTCACTTCGAAATGTAGGAGGCGAAAGCTTGGAAAAGTTTCACTGCAAGACGCCAATTAATCATGTTTTGTTGTTTTTGACATCATCCACATCCAGAGGGCCAGTCACTTTCGAATGTATGACAATGG